AAATCCCATCAACCAGAGATAACCACTGTTTTATTTTTTCTTTGCATATATACATCTATATACTCACATTTTAAAAAAGAATAATAAAATCACACTATACATGCTATTTGGATCACGAACATTTGCCAGAGCATAAAATCTTCCTCTACAACATAATTTTTAAATTCCGTATACCACTATGCAACTGATTTTAGGTTAACCAATTCCTTCTTGGTGGACATTTAAGTTATTTGTCATATTTTTGTTAATGTTTTTTAGATTTGTCATTAGAGAATGTTAAATGACTAATTCTCCTTTCTAGAAGTACTTTTCTGACAAATTCAGGTGTTAAAAAAATGAAGGGCTTTAAAGTCAGATAGACCCTGAGTTTGAATACTGGTCTGCCACATACTAGTTGTGTGACCTCAAATAGGAAAAACTGACATAAAGTACGTACACAGAGTAGACATTTTCTGATTCCTTCCATCCCCCTGCCCCCACCTTTTAAGTGCTTTGCCCCAGTATGATGCTGTCTTTTAGGAACTTTGTAAAGACATTTTAGTATTCTTATTCCCTAAACTAAATACTAATTTTTAGTTTTGGCTGCTATTAATACTATTCATTTTGTAGTTGTCAGTTTTAACATTTTTGTTTTTGTCTCTTTTTCTCCTAGAGATAAGATTTCAATTTCCACAGCTGACTGGAGTACTTACCCTTGCTTTTTTTATTCATAATTGTATTATCACACTCTTGAAGAATAACAAGAACCAAGAAAACAATGTGAGTAATTATCTGAGGAATTGACTTTTATATCTCCTGAGGATAGACTTTTTAAATCAGTATTTGAAGCACTTTATATTTGTTGTACAATTATGTAATTTTGTTATTGTATCTTAATTTTTAAACTTAAACCATAGAGCAGGGGTCAGCAGGTTTTTCTGTAAAGGTTTAGATGGTAAATACTTTAGGCTTTGAGGGCCATATGGTCTTTGTTACCACTATTCAACTCTGTTATTGCAGCATGAAAGTAACTGTAGATGATAAGTAAACAAATGGGTGGTGGCTGTGTTTCAATAAAACTTTATTTACAGAAACAGACAGCAGGCCAGATGTGCCTACGGACCATAGTTTGCCAACACCCACCATAAAGCAACCACTAAAAAAATAAAGAAGTATAGTTAATAAGCCCATAATGGTGATAAAAATCATAAAAAATCCCCAGCTGATCCAAAAGAAGGCAGGGAAAAGGGAACAAAGAATAGATGGAACAAATAGAAAACAAATAACAAGATATAATAGATTTAAGGCCATCATATTGATAATTACATTAAATATAAATGGTCCAAACACCACAATTAAAAAATAGAAATTGTCAGACTAGTTAAAAGACAAAACCTAACTATATGTTGTCTGCAAGAAATTTATGTTATACTTGAAGATGTGCCATGCAAACATTAGACATCAGAAAAGTAGAATGGCTGTATTAATATCAGACAAAGTAGAACAATGAGTATTGCCAGATATGAAGAGGAACATTATCTAATGATCTTTGGGGATCAATTCATCAAGAAGACATAATATCCTAAATGTATATGCACCCAGTGACAGAGCTTCAAAGTAAATGAAGTAACAGTTGCCAAACAGAAAGAAGTTGACAAATCTACAATTATAATGAGGTTTTATCACCCCTCCTTCAAGAATTGATAGAACAAATAGACAAAAATAAGGATATAGAAAGCATGAAAAACAGTATCAACCTACTTGATCTAATTGATATTCATGAAGTCTTCTATCAACAGCAGAATACACATTCTTTTTAAATACACTGGAATATTTACCAAAATTGACCATAGGCTGGGTCATAAAACAAGTCTCAATAAATTTAAAAGGATGTTCTCCAACCATAAGAGTCAAGTTACAAACCAATAACAAAGAAATTTGGGAAATTCACAAATATGTAGAAATTAAACAACATACTCCTAAATAACCAATGAGTCAAAGAAAAAATCACAAGAAAAATTAGAAAATACCTTGAGATTATGAAAACTCAGTATACCAAAACATATGAGATGCAGCTAAAGCACTGCTTAGAGGGAAATGTATAGCTCTAAATACCTACATTAAAAATGAAGAAAGATCTCAAAAACCTAACCTTTTACCTTAAGCCATTGGAAAAAGAAGAGCAAACTAAACCCAGAGCAAGCAGAAGTTATCTATTTACTTGTTGCCTTGTCTACAGATTTTGAGCTCAATTTAACAGCTTCTAACCATGTAAACAGAAATCATAACGAAGCTCAAATAGAAATCTATATAGTTGTTACTGAAAATACAAAGGAAGGAATTGTGCCTGGGGGTTCTGAGAAGGTTTTGAGTAAAGGGTAATGCTTGGCAGAGTCATTATGAAGGCAGAAAGCTTTCTAAGGAGAGGGAAGTTAGCTCTCAAATGAGGGCAAGAGTATAAGTCAAGCTCTTTCTTCTTCATTTTTACTGACCACACATCTGGCATGTTACCTATAAATGCAGTTGGAGTTGAGTAAGTCTGAATTTTCCATACTTCCTAGCTTGGTGACATTACCTCACATTTCATTTTCTTCATATGTAAAAATAGCATTAATGATACCTGACAGAGTTGTAATGAGAAGGTCATTAAATATGAAATGTCCAATTTTGAATCAAAAGTGTAGTTTATTATATCTCAAACAAGAAGCAGTACAATTAATCAAATTATGTGCCTAAACCATCAACACAGTTTTGCCATCTTAATGGTAGCTTGTTTACTCCAGTAGCAAAGAAGCCTGGAGAGCGAGTGGTGATGAAATCACAAAAGGCATTTTCCACAGCTAGTTGAGAATTGAATATTTTTCCTTGCAAGAAGTGGTCCAAAACCTGGAAGAAGTGATAGTCAGGTGGTGCAAGGTCTGGTGAATATGGTGGATGACAGAGAGTTTCCAAGTCCAGCTGCTATAGTTTGAGCAGCATTGTCTGTGCAACATGTGGTTGACTGTTGTCTTGCAAGAGGATTGGCCTGTCTCTGTTGACCAGTCTTGGCTGCTTAATCACAAGCATCCTCACCACTTCATCCAGTTGGTTGCAGTAGACATACACTGTGATCAATTGACCAGGTTTTGTGAAGCTGTAGTGGATAATACCAGTACCGGACCACGAACCATACACCATTAGCTTTTTTTTTTTTTTTTTTT